ATTTCCTGCTAAGTACTCGGAAGAGATAACCATCTGACATCCAGATAACCACCCCTTGCTTCTCTCAAACATTTGTATGTGAATGAATACTTTTTTAAATATCAGGAAACAGTCCAGGAGAATACGTGAGTAAGCAGGTAGGTTTTGGCTGAAATTACTCTTCTGGATACTTTTTAAGCCTTTTATGTAAAGGGGTTGCTGTGCCTATTTTCTTATGGAATTGCTTTACAGGAACCTCCCAGCATGCTATTGGGGTTCTCAGATGAGAGTTTTATACTGTTTGACAGCTGCACTAAAAACAACTGCTTCCTGTTAGGCAAGATGCTGGAAGCACTAGGTAGGGTCCTTTTTTCTTTCTTCCCTTTTTTTTCTTTTTTCTTTAAGCTCTGAAATCTGAGGGTCATTTGCTTATGGTGGGTAGAAATTGCACAAAGCACCTGGAGCTTGAATTCAGAAGACTGACTGTGCATAATCTTGTTTAGGACACATCAGCTCTTGCCTGACACCCTTCCCAGGAGACAGAGATGCTGAAGTGTTTATCTCAGTGGCTGCTGAAGTCTTCTCCTTTGGTTGTGGGCAGGAGACCACCCTTTGTGTTGCTTTTTAGGGGGCAGTAAAAGGGAAGTGATGCCCATCTCAGGTGATTTAAGTAATTCTCAGGGAGGACCTGTGAGGTTTGTCACTGGGTACCTTGATGCTTTTTGTGACAGGTATTAGCTCTGCAGCCTTAAAACACTGTTTAGGATTGGACTCCCAAGTGCTTTTTCTTGTTGGTGTCAGGCTTTGTTCTCATCAGGCAGAGTGGTGGATCCTGTCTGTCACCTTGGTTTGACCATCTCCTCACACTTTGAAAAGATCCCAAGAAGCTGATCTAGAGTACTGAAAGCTATGGATTGGCAATTATTCTGCTGAGGATTTTTTGGTGGGTGGGATGGGAATCATGGGTACAGTTAAAATTGGTCCTGATACAAATACCAGCAGCTCTTTCTGATGTTAGATTTAGAAATGTAATGATACTGTATTTCTGCAGCCTTCAAAATGGTATCAGAGTAGCTCACCAGCAGCAGAACAGGTAACTGTCTGTGTAGAAGATGTGGAAAGATGCAATTAAGAAGTTTAAGTAAAAGACATCTTAAGTGGTTTCCCAAAAGTAGTGTTGAAGCAGCTGAAAACTGAGTCTGAGACAAGTCATTCCAGAGTGCTGTGACCTTGCTTCCCAGAAAAGAGTCAGTTTATCTCTCTGAAGCTGTTAGGAGTGCAGCTGTGAATTCTGAAAGTGCAGTCCTAACTATCCCCAAACAGCCTGAAAGGGCTTTCTTGTTGTTCTCAGCCTGAAATAATCATAGTGATTTCCCTATGTAAACTCCCGTTTCCAGGGATTGGTTCACCTAATATATTTATATGCACATACTCTTAAACTCTCAAAAAAATAAACACCTAGTACACTCTGCTCCTTGTACAGAGCTGTGTAGCTTTCAAAAGCAGAATTGCAGAAATACTGCCATTTGCACTGCAGTGAAGCAAACCTTCCCTTCTTCCTTGCAAAAGTGAGAATGAAAATGCTTTGGCATATAGCTTTGATTTAAACTGAAAAGCCTCTGGTTTTCAGAGCTGCTTTTAAAGCAAAGGGCTACTTTGGCTTTTGATCCTCTTAAGCTGGGTTATTTGATGTGAAAAACGTCCTGGGTACTCTGCTGCAGAGGGGAGCAGCTTTTCAGTTCTCTGTGTGTGGTTTCAGAAGAGGGCCTGGCAGAGTGTGGGGTGGTGGGGGGCTCGGGGGGGGGCTGGTTGCACAGCTCTGTAAATAAAGGGGCCTCTATTTCTTTGGATTCTTTTGCCGGAACTAAATATCATGATCAGTGAAACTCTTACCTCATTAAAGGAGCGAGGCAGGCTCCTCCAGCGTATGCGCAGTGCTGCAGTGTGGTTTGTTCTGAGCTGATTTGCTGAGCAGATAACGGGAGTTTTAACCTAAGAATGGCATGTAATGTATGACCTTGGCTTTTGAAAGGTTTATTTTTGTTCTTTTGACAAAATAAGGTTTTAATATTAAATATGGGGTTGGATTTGACTTGGCAGATACCAGAGCCTCTATTACTGCTGTAGTCATAATATTAAACTATCTGATGTGTGCCAGTGAGCATGCAGCAAGCCAAGAATTTTTCCATCAGTGTTTATTTTTCTGAAAACTTACCCAGTTGCTTTGCAGTTGGGTTGGCTAAAAAGGTGATGTACCCTTAGGTTGGAGGGAGCAAAGTGGTGGTGGGCACAATATAGTCCATGTAGACTCTTTATACTTAGCATCTTTAGTTTTGGGGCAAAATAGGGGTTCCCCCTCCTCCTCTTCCCCTTTGTGTTTTAGAAGTGTTTAGAAGAAACTTTCACTCAAAACTCCAGGGTTCACCAGAACCAAGATATAAAACAAACTTCGTGAAATATTCAGATCTGTTAGTACAGAAATTTAATGCTGTACTGCAGCTTTCAGTCTATGTAGTGGGGCCATGCAGGGATACAAAATAAAAAAATTCTGAGCCTTTCTCCCTGCACATGTTCCATGTCAGACCATCATCTTACTGTAAAGCTGAGATGCTTTTGGACTGCTGTGCTGCAAGAATTTGACTGAATAAATTACCTGTAAAGCACTTCAGTGTTGAGATGCTGAACTAAGCTCCAAAGTCCTTGCTCTAAATTGTCTGTAGTTTGAATTGGTTACCGTCAGATTTAAGCCACTACCACCCTTCCCCCCACCAAAAACCCCCAGTAAAACCCAAAAACAAACCGAAAAAACAAAAACAAAACAACAAAAGCACCCAGCCAACCTAACCATGACCAGAAAAACCTACACCAAAGCTATAATCTCGTTCCTCACTTCCCTAGCTCTCAGAGAAACTAGCCCCAAATAGTGCCAGAATCGAGTTTCTGTAGATCAAAGGCTGTAGTCAAAGCATGTTGCCTCTGCAGCTGGCACAGGAGTTGTGTCAGGCTGACCTGCTGGGAATGCTTTCCACTGGAAAGGGAGCAGGTTGGTGCAGGTACAGATAGCAGAGAATGTGGGGAGATCTGTGGAAGAGTTCATGGCTTCCATGGGCTTTACCAACATTTCTTCCATCTGCGTATTGTTACCCTTTCACCCTTTTTTTTTTTTTTTTGTGGAAATGAGGTCTGGTCTTTCTGTTCTGGAAATATTCTTAGGGTTTTTAGCTTGTTCATTGTCTGGCTGGATGACAGTGATTGATTTTCTAGAAATTTTCTGGAAAATTGGGGGGGGGGGGGAGGGATTTGGAACTTACAGGAAGAAGCACAAGTTTGAAAATCTGCAAGCCTGCAAGGTGTGGTGGGGTTTTTGTCCAGCTTCTTGTCATCCTCCTAAGATAATGCTTAAGCAGTTTAGACCTACTCTGAAAGGAGAAGACTGCCATGAGGACAGAGTGTTTCCACATGAGGAGTATCTCTGTCCTTGTGAGATACCATTTGTTCTGTCTTCCATTGGCACATGTATCTGGAGATCTTGGGTTTCTAACTGGAAAAATAATTTCCCATACTACTTTCCTCTCCACTAGCAGACTGATGCATCCTTATCACAGATTTTGAAGCTGGGGCCAGTGTGAGCACTTGTGGTAAAAAGGATATCTGTAAGAAAAGCCAAGCTGCATAACTTGGCTATTGGATAACAAAAGCAAAACCTTTGGAAAAAATACTAATAAAATTACTATGCTAATTACATTCTGAATATTAATATTTCTGTCTGTGAAAGACCTGTCTAAATTAAGCATAAAGTATTTCCAAAGTAATCATGAGTATTCAAAGCCACATATGTCACAATTTCCTCAAAACCAGATTACCAAGCTAAAATTAAATAGCTCAAAGACTTTCACTTTATTGACTGTTACCTCAGAACAGCTGCAAAGTGCAGGTGAATTACATGTTTTTAAATTTTCCCTGTATTTTCACCAACTTGTGACCATTAATTATTCAAAAACATTTTAAGTCAAATCTTTAAATGAAAATCTCTTAGATGCAAGTAAAATTCTTCTAAGTTTTAACTGTTAATTTTAAAATATAAGCATTGTATGCTGCTGCATTTTCTGAGTGTTCTTTGGAAGGTATGTCTTGAATCTTTGGGGATTTAAAAAAAATCTTATAATGGAAGTAGCTTAATGCTTGTTTCCTTACCTTTTTTTTTTCTTATTTAGTAGTTCTCTGTTTGAGTCACACTGCCATATGAACAAATCCATTTAAGTAATGTTGCCTGTCAGCTTTACTGCTTTGTGACTACTGGTATGTTGTGACCAGCAATGTTCTCCTAAGTACAAGTGTTGCTTTAGACTTGATGGATACTCACCTAAACACTTCTGTTATTCAGTAATTTTCGTATGGATCAATGTAAAGCATGTGTGGTCTTCTTTAAACAGTTATTTTTGGGAAGCAGAGATCCAAGAGGTTAAAAAAAAGCCCACTGAACTCTAGCTCATTTCATATTAGAAGTAAAGCTGTGTTGTTTCAGAACATGCCTTGAAAGGAGGAATTTCAATAGGGAGCCATCTTACTTTCCAAAAACTATAGCTGTGAAACATCAGCTCGAAGGCTTTTTGTTAACTTTGATCTTTCTTAGAACTGACCCATTCATAATGTGTTTCAGTTTCTGGTTTATGCTTTTTTTTCCTGGAATCAGTTCTTGAAAATTATCCACTTTGAAGCATTTTTATTTCTCCCTTTAAGAAATATTTATTTTTTCCTTTACTAACTGATCTGTGAAACTAATAAAATACTTTAGGTATGCTGGTTGTCCCAGATACAACTTTGCATTTGTGAGGCTGCCACTGTCCTGTATCAGTCAGGTAGATCTGCACATGTGGTTACAGAACACAGGATCCAGATTCCACTCCCTGGATGGCTGGTTCTGTGAGGAGAATGCTTCTCCTTTTTCCATGGTCCCAATCTTCAATCCTGCTCTGGTTACAAGAAGTGTGTCATGAGTTTTTATTTTTCATTCCCTCCAGGTTTACAGGAACAGATGGACCGAGTGGTTTTGGGTTTGAGCTGACGTTCCGGCTGAAGAGGGAGACGGGGGAGTCGGCGCCGCCCACCTGGCCTGCAGAGCTGATGCAAGGCTTGGCCAGATACGTCTTCCAGTCAGGTACCACGGGGTCCATACAGGCCTTGCTTCTTCGTGCTCTGCTTCTGGAGGGCCACATCTGTTACAGGGTGTGACACTTGTCTCACCAGCACCCAGTCAGGTTTTGGGAATTGTCTTTGTGTGGGAACCCAAAAGAGTGTGTTCCTTCCTGCAGCCCGGCCTGCAGGGACAAAATCAATTGTTGTTCAGGTTACTGCAAATCTGAGTATTGAAAAGCTGAAGTTACATAACAGTCAGTAACTATAGGAGGTCTGCCCAGTGACTCTTTCCTGCATAGCTGGGTTCACAGAATTGCAGAATCACAGAATGAACTAGGTTGGAAAAGACCTTTGAGATCAAGTCCAACCTATGACCTAACACTCCTCATTAACTAAACCGTGGCACTGAGTGCCACGTCCAGTATCTTCTCACAGCAAGAAAAACACATTTGATTATCCTGAATGGCTGAGGAACAGCCATCTGATAAGGTCTCACTTCTCAGCAGAGCTTCCAAAAACATTGGAGCTCCATCACAGGCAAATCCCTTCCCGTGGTCCTGCAGCCAAGCAGTAGCAATGCATATGGACATGGTGTTGTTGAGATGTGAAAATGTAAAAGTTGTAAGGAATGCTAAGGCCTGGGAGGGCCAAGGAATTAACAGTTGTCAATCATTACTGCTGGTGGAGAATTGCCAGAAAACTGGGAACCAGGGTACCTACAAACCATCCTCTTGCACTATTCTTTCAGTTTCATTTACATCAGCAGATTGAATGTTACTTTTAGTGCCAGCACATGAAAACATGTGCAATGGATGATGGCTAATGTTCTTGAAAGGCACTTTCCAGCATCACAAGATCTGAGTGACAATATTTAAAGAACATTTTAAGTTAATTTGAGGTCCTTTACAGGTAAAGTACCTTGTAAATCATTGATTATTGAATTTGTAGCATTTTGTACCTGCTGAACTAGTTAATAAATTGCTCAGTAACTTCTGATTCTGCTGATGATTTTCAGTCAGCTGGCAGAGTCTCAAAAGAAAAAGGTCTGGGTAAGAACAGGATTGCTCTGCTAACTTCTATGACAAATCTGAGCAATTGCCAATCTTTTGGGTATTTTTCTAAATATTGGTAGACATAGTTCAGTGCCAGCCCAGATTATTGCTTGTCTTTTTGTAACATTTGCTATGTAGCTGTCTTCCCCAGTTACCGTCCAAAATTTGTCTCACTTTTCTGTCTTGATTTTTACAACTGTTAAGCGTCTAAATCTATGAGACTGTCATGATATTTTACTTTGTTTGAAATTCCCATCCTGCCTAAATTGTATTGCATAGCAGCTTTTTGCTACTGACCATCAGGGATGAATTCGTACTCACGTTTTCTATGCAATGATTGCAGGATCTGAAGAAAACATCTGAATCTAAAGTCTCCCTCTTAGATACAAAGTAACGTATGTGTTATGTGTTAACATATACTAAATATCCTGCATCCCATTTGAAACATTTTAAATTTCCTAGTTCAGGCCAGTTCTCACAGCAGTTGCTTGTTGGTCACTGTGTTTTCATTGATGAGAGGAGGTCTGCTGAGTGAAATGGGATTTGGAAGGGTACTTAAGGGCAAACTTCTTGGTGACTAAGTTGGCAATCAGGGCAGAGACTTCCCTTGTTTGGTTTCTGCCAAAATGCAGTCCCATCTTTTTGAGCCTCAAAGCCAAAGAACTGTTCTTAGAATGAAAAGAGTGGTTGTGCCCATGCTTATCAATCTGGCATGAACCACCCTCCAGTGTTATCTTCTGCTTATCCATGCTGCTTTTTACTTTATATCCACCATGACTCTTTAAAGGTGCACTGAAACTCATCCATGCTGCTGGATTCTAGCCTCTGGGTGTTTATTTTCAATTTGCCTTAAGAAAAACAACAGTGTATGAATCATAAATTGACTTCTTTCTTTGACTATGTAATTGGATATGAGCCAATACCATGCTTATCATACAATGGGCAAACCACATGCTGGGTTACCTTAGGAAAAGCATGAGCAGCAGATAGAGGGAAGTTATTACCTCTTTGGCATGGCACTGAGAAGGGCTTGCTTAAAATATTGTGTCCTGGTTTTGGCCTTTAAGAGATACTGAAAATCTGGAGAGTGTTCAAGGTGGTCAGGGTTCTAGGGCATGTGAGCCATGAGGAAAGCTGGAGGGAGCAGGGCCAGTTTAGCCTGAGAAGAGAATGTGCAGGGTGTTCTAATTGGAGCCTACAGCTGTAGGGAGGGTAGTTACAAGATGGTGGGGTCAAGCCCTAGGTAGTACATCAAAGGGCTACAGCTCTGAATTGCAATATGGGAGGCCCTGGAATAGCTTCAAGGAAAACTTGCTCACAAGGAGAGTGGCAAAGGACAGGGAATGGTTTATAAGAGAGGTGCTGGAAGTCTATTCCTGGAAAGGTTCAGGAATGGCTTAACAAAGCTAAGTTGGTCCTGATCTAGCGTTGGGGATGGCTCCACTTCAAATAGGGAGGCTGGACAAGTGACCTGCAAAGGCTCCTTAAAATATCACAGAAGTGTTGGATTTTGGGCCTTTTTTTCCATGCTGCTTTATACTCTTCAGCAAGCAGCTGTGTGTTGTCACTGACTGTTACCAACCATTCCTTGCCTTGTATAAAACAAATCTGTATGCTGTGCAACAAGTGAAAAAATTCTAGTTTTATTTTAGTACAAATTTGATTATCACATACCTCTTTGAGAAAGAATTTTCTCAGGCTAAAATCATCTGGTTAATAATAGACATCACATTAATCCTGACAAGATTATGCATTTAAAAGTAAGACTTGTAATGGGGCCTATTTTATCATGTTTCTTCTTGATCTTTCAGGGCAATGCCAGTTAACCACAGCTAATTTTCTAATTTAGTCAAAGATCTCTCACTCCATTGCTCTGCAGAGTCTCCAGTACTTCTACATCTGACGTGTCCTGCTTTATTTTGTTCTACTCCCTTGAGCTGTCTTGTCTCAGAATGGCAATGTCCAGAGCCGTTCTCCCTTATGTCACTCCTGGGTAATCAGGCAGCCAGTCCTCAGCAGTTACTTTCTTTTCTGCCTGGTAGAGATTCCCCCAGTTTGACATTCTCACTCTGCAGAGCCAAGTGAGCTTCTGCCATTGTTTTTTCTCATTTTTTACAGGACTTCTCTATTCAGATGTTGAAACTTTAAAACTGTGAAGTATTTGAAGGGTTGGTTCTTCTGAAGCCCATTGGGCATGAAGCAGGCTGTGGCATGACAGCATTGTTTTACATGATGAAAGGTTTCTTTTTGATCAAGTTCTTTCTGACTGTAGTGCTTAGAGCATTTGTCAAATGAAACTCTGGTAAGTGTTTAACTCTGGTGTATGTACTTTAATGTCGTCCTCTTTGGTTGTTTAAAAAAAATAAAACTATGGTGTATCTTTAATATTCCAAAGTAGCCTTAAAAACATTTGAAGAGCTGAAACAACTGAAGTAAAACTTAAAAATCCACTCTGAACAAGAAGCAAGAAAAAGAATAAAATCAGCAGAAACTTTTTGGATGGGCTCCAAGCACTTTTGCATGTCAGAAAATTGTTATGCTGAAAGCTGTACTAGGAGCTAAATTCTTATCTCTTGATAAAAGCCAACTTTTTAGTTATCATAGAGGTGTGCTGCTGAGTCCAGCTGAAGCTGGGGGAGAGTAAGGTGTAGTCATACTCCTGCTGAGCCTGAGCATTTTCAGGTGGTGACAACTGAGTTGAATATTCACCTAGCAGCTACTGCTGTCCTAAATATTATTCCTGTGTATTGCAATTGCAAAGCATGTTTCATTGCAAGTGATGGATTTTTCTAACAAATGTTTCTAGGCAAATGAGTGTTGCATTCCTTTGTTTCTCACTCTCCTGCACTGTGGCAGTGCTTTAGAAAAGCAATCTTCTGCATTGAATTTCAGACCTCTTTCAGCCTTGGCTTCTCTGTTCACTGTAACAAGCGCTTGGTGCTTTTGATTAAAGGGCAGTACTTACCCTCCTTCAACAACACCAAGCTTTCAAGTCTCAAAGAGTTTTATTTGTGGCTTTATCTGTTCTTAATTTTTTCACTGTTTGACCATGACCACAAATTCCAACTCTGTTAGTTTTAAAAAATCCCCAAACCTTCAAACCTTGAAAATGAAACTTTGCACAATTCCGTGACCTTAGCTTGTCATGGTTCATGGGTGTACTGCAAATATCTCATGGTAGAACAAATTTATACTTCAATTCAAATGAAAAGGAAGAAACGCTCTTCCTACAGAAAGCTTATCCAGAGCTTACAACAACTGTTAACTCTTTATGTACTACAGTACCAAGACCCTTAATCACTACACTATGGTTTGTGTTTTCCTGAAATTAAAGTTTGCATTTTTTTTTCTCTCTAGGATAAATTTATGTTGTTTTCAAGGGTCTGTCTGATATGTGTGATGAGGGCAATATATTGATGTAGCATGGGAACAAGTACATGTGTGTATTGAACTCTTGCTGCTTCCGTGTTTTTAGTCTGAAAGAAAACAGCTGCAGCTGTCAGGTACGGGTTTGGAGAAATGGTCATGAAAACTCATCATGCAGAAAGCCTGAAAATAATGATGTGGCATATGTCATGGTTATATTCTCCACAATGCACAAGCTGTGGTGGGGAATGAGCCCTAAGCATGAAGAGCATGTCCGTGAGTTAGAAGCTTGCAGATTGGCTGAGCTTGATGACATTTACCCCAGAACATATCAGCATGAGCAGGCTGAGCCCCTGCTAGTTTAGGGGACACAGGTAGCACCACAGGAGACTGGAAAACTGGCAAATACTGTTCTTCACATCCCATTAAAAAACCTGTATCAAAACCAAAACAAACTCCCCCCAAAAAAAAAACCTCAAAAAAAACCAAACAAACAAAAACCAAAAAACAAACAAAACCCCAAAAAAAGCATAACAAAAAACAAAAACAAAACAAAAAACAAATAAAAACAAAAACCCAACAAAAACAACAACAACAAAAAAAA